TGCGACCTATCTAGCAAACTATTGTTGATGACATGAACAACGAACATGAAGCTGCGGGACTTTGCGCCTCGCACAGCCCAAGGCCGTAGAAGGCGACACGCTTCGTTGTGCTCATTGTATGAGTATCCAGGCGGACGAGTTACGGTGAGCGGAAAGTGCGTGGACAGGTTCTGGCCTACGTCTGTCTGTGAGCCATTGAGAGGTCTCGATGGATTACAGCCCATTGTTACGGCGAGACGAATGCGAGAGTTCGTACGTCGGTCTGATGGCAGACAGGTATTGACGCGATGTCTTTTCATACTTGTACCGCTTTGCGCAAGATCCAGAAGCGGTGACAAAGGTCCGGTACATGGCTGCCCAATTCAGCTTCTTAGGCCGTTGACTTTGCTGCTCGATGTTCACGCCGTACATAGGGTCGAAAGAACCCAAACCATCCCCGCGGCACACAGAGCCACATTTTGCAGTGGTGTTTCTCACTTCGCTGAACCCACACCAGCTGCATCATGGAGGGGTCGATTTGGGCAAAGACACCCAGAACTGCCCGTGATCGCATCTGCCACGACACCATGACCTATGTCTATTCCACAAGACATGTCATGGGCTCCATGAAGTATGTATACTGTACAGCGTACAGCCCTTTTCAAGAATCGTTTAAGGTCTCCTCCCCAGACCACCCTATCCGTAGACTTCCCGGTATATACCAGAGACGGAGTAACAACCACTGACCTACCGTCCTTGCTCTTATTATCCATCAGCCAAAGCTACCCACCAAGGGCTCACGCAGCCAGCGCAATCAGCTTGCCTCCGCCATGGGTGTTGCCGCCTTCACGACCATCTTTATGTGGGGGCCGTTCCTGTACGCTGCCACGCTCATCCTTCACCAGTATCTACGACTACGACACATCCCCGGCCCCCCCTCTGCCGGATTCTCCCCTTGGTGGCTTTTACGTGCCGTGTATAGCGGTAGCATGCACCTCAAGTTCTACGAGGCCGGCCTCAAATATGGTGCTTACGACTGTTCTCAGTGTCGTTCACGACGCTCGCTGACTCCTCTCACAGGATCTCTTGTTCGCGTCGGTCCAAACGACGTTGTGACGAGCGACCCGGACCTCATGAGGCATATGCTCGGCGTGCGCACCAAGTATACGCGTTCAGACTGGTACAACGCGATGCGACTAGAT